TGACAAAAGGTGCAGGCCCTTCATCCAACGGGCACTGATGACACTTCCCATCCTCTCCACCCAAGGGTTCAGGGCTGTTCCCATGGCCCTGACCCCGGGCGTGACTGCCTTTCCGCTGTCCAGTGCCATTCCTTGGTAGCTCAGAGAGGAGAAGTCACGGACCCAGAGCCCCTCCCAGATGCTAGGCCTGGATGTGGAATTGGTTTGTCTGATTTTCAGAGTGCAAGGCCTTCTCCAAACTCAGGTGCTCACCTGCTCCCAGTCAGACCCCCTGACCCATGGTCACACAGACCCTTCTGTAAATAATAGCATTTCCCTGAAAATTAGACAGTGTCTTATATTGATTTTTGCTCCCAAAGATGTGCTAGGTCTTATTTTCAGGGGATGTCTTATTTTTCCATGAAGAAGAATACGGTACACATTTATTGTTTACTGTTTTATTAAAAGAGACCTCGCACTTCCTGTCTGCTCCGGCCGCGCTGCAGCCAATAGTGAGCTGAGCGGGGCGCCCGCCACTACCATCCAGAGTCCAGAGTTGGGTAGGTCTTATTTTCGGGGGGATGCCTTATATTTCAGTGAGAGGCAAAACTGTAAGTAGGTCTTATTTGGGGGGGATGTCTTACTTTCGGGGAAAACAGGGTAGATATTGGTTCAATATAACAATGGTCGAATGTACAAACCATATATTGTACTAGAGCACAACAGGCAGTGTTGAAAAACCAAACTCATTGTCAGTGATTCAACTTTAGCTTGTAGCGGCCTTATAGGACACGGTAGAACTGCCACTGTCAGTTTCTGAGACTGTAACTCTTTTTTTTTTTTTGGCAGCAAAAATGACGCATATTTATTGTTGCATGTATGCAAAGTAAAAGCAAATTGGTATGACTTGATTATCGAGAACCTTATTATATTCTTTCTGAACATTTTTGTCCTGTGACTTAAAGTTGGCTCTTCTTTCTTTTAAAAAAAATCATTTTATTGGGGGCTCTTACAGCTCTTATAACAATCCATACATCCATTGTGTCAAGCACATTTGTACATATATTGACATCATCCTTTTCAAAACATTTTCTTTCTCCTTGAGCCCTTGCTATCAGCTCCTCATTTTTTCCCTTCCTCCCCACCCTACCTCTCTCATGAACCCTTGATAATTTATAAATTATTATTATTTTCATATCTTACACTGACCTCTGTCTCCCTTCACCCATGTTTCTGTTGATCGTCCCCCTTGGTGGTGGAGATTGGTGGTTATACATCGATGATTGTGATTGGTTCCACCTTTCTCCCCTCACCCCGCCACTCCATACCCTCCTGGTAGTGCTGCTCTCATTATTGGTCCTGAGGGGTTTATCTGTCCTGGATTCCCTGTGTTTCCAGCTCTTCTCTGGACCAGTGAACTTGCTCTGGGCTAGCTGGATTTGTAAGGTAGAACTGGGGTCATGATAGTTTTGGGGGGGCAGAGGAAGCATTAAAGAACTAGAGGAATGTTGTATGTTTTGTTGTGGAAGTAGAAAGCCTCGTTTTCTCCTTCAGAGTGGCTGGTGGTTTCTAACTGCTGACTTTGCCGTTAGTGGCTCAACATGTAACCAACACCAATCACCAGGGATCCTGTACGGTCAGCGTAGACTGGAATTGAAAGGAGGCAGAGACAGCGTCGGTGGGAATCACCCAGGGAAGACATCATGGAGGAGGAGAGGTAGAAATGAGCAATGCAACAGGAGCAGTTGTGTCATTAATCAGGCTGCATGCCATGGGATTGCATGTGATCCACTTACTCCGGCCAAGATGCTCTAGGAGTCCTTTCCAGTTTGATCTTCAGCCTTCAGAGCCCAGGGAGCCTCCCACGGGTGAACTGTACTCCTCTACTGGCTGTCCAGGGTCTGTGCGTTGGTGGGCCACAGGGGGCTCTTCGGAAAGCCCCGACTGATTGCCAGACTGTTTGAGAATTCCAACTCCTACTCTAGTGTTGGGAGCCAATACCTATAACAATAGTGACACATCCCCATTGACATTACATGCATGCCATTCCCTCCCAAGGGTCCCTTCCCTGTTCTCCAGCCGTTTCTGCCTCATTGAGGGCACGCTTCATTGAGGGCACCTCTACCTGCTCGCGTAGTGAATGAGCAAGACGGCTCATGGTAGTGGTGATCAGTCTCTGTCGCTCCATTTGAGAACAAAAATGAGCTTCTATTTTTAGATTTGCATGGGAAAGTCCGAGGGAGGAGGGAGAAAAGAGATCAGCCAAAAATCTTTCCTGGGGCAGCTGCTATCTCGGCTGACATGGAGAAAAAGAGGAGGGAAGGGAGGTAGAGATGTCTCAGACACCCCATTAAACACCGCAGACCTAGCGACCCTCTCTGGAGCACCCTGGTGATTAGGCAGGAGAGAGTTGAATGGTCTTGTGATAGCAGACATTCCTTGCCTGCTGCAGGCAAAGAAGAGAGACGAGACAGGAAGAGATGAGAGATGTGTTGGTCTCTGTTAGCAGTGAA